CCTACATAGCCTGATCAGACATTAAAAGCATGATGCTAATGAAAAGCTATCATTAATTTATAATTGGAAATGGCCTTATGCCTTCTGAAGAAACTGACGTGGTGATATTGAGAACGTATTTCTGTGCAACGCTTTCTTTAATGGGCTGGTTTCCCTCTTCGCCACTCTTCCACAGGCTCTTGGTTCTGCCCTCTTCCACAGCTCACTACCAGCGTCTCTGTCTCTAACGCTATTCTCTAAACTGGATTAAATAAATGATCTGGTAAAATAACAAAAAATAAGTAAAACCCTAAACAAGCCCAAATCCTTCCAAAACAAAACAAAAATTGCTAGAGCCAGAACAAGCAGCTGAGGACACAAGCGGGCGGGGAGTATTGGCGGGGAGTATATATCTCTGTTAGAGAAAATGTATAGGGAGCCACACGTTTGAGGGGCACTTTCATATTACAAATGCCTATAAGCATTTAAATGAACCATAGGACAGAACTGGTGACAAACTACCTCAGTCTGGACCAAATAGGACAAAATATGAACCTCATAAAATGCCCTAGTATTTATCTAGCATTGTTTAAAAGTTATCATCTAACTGGAGGACAGGCCCTCAAGAGGCGTATACAGACACTTGATAATTACGATATCCTCTCTGCCAGCCCCTTGCACTATTTATTAATTTCGTAGTTGTTCATAGGAGGTATCCTTCATGCTTACAGTAAAAATACAGAGGGATAGAAAAACCAGTCCAGTAAGAACCCTGTATCCGAAACAAAATGTCCCAGATTTTCTAGCACGAGCAAGTGCTTTCTACAGACCCAAAACAACATACAACTGTCAGTGTAGCTAAATGCCATTTAATTGGCAGCTAGAAAAGTCTGTAATACATTTCTTCATGGAAAAATGTTTGAGCTCTTCCAGTTTGCCAAGATGCTAATTAAAAACAGACGGTGTGTTATAAAATCCTTTCCTTGACCTGTGCTATCTTACATTGCCCTTCTGTACTTTTTTCATGGCATTGGCTCCCTGCAGAATTATTCTAATCTTTATAAACTTGTATTTAATTTTCCTTGTCATTTTGCAGACAGAAAAAAGTAACTACATGTTATTTATTTAAATGTACATAGGAAATTTATTTGTTACATGGCAGAGATAACAGGCTTTTGAGGAGAGAATCTTTACTTGTTAAAAACAGAAGGTTTCTACGTCCTGAATAATTCACGATGAAGGAAATCTTAGTGCCACTGAAGTCACTGAAATAGTTCAAGTAAAAGCCTCGCTGGAGTGCCACTGACATAATGAATTGCACAATGAGAAGGATGTGCTCCATCAAACGCATATTATTGTTTCATCATAGCTAACCAAAATGCTTTACAAAGCTGGGATTTGGATCAGCGCTGAACCATTTTAAGGGGTCATTGGTGATAGCTCCACAAGTGTATTTTACTGACGTTTTTATTCTTCATAACAATCCAAGAAATTTGGAAAAACACCTTATTTTGCTAAGAGTTAATCCCTTTTACCTCACGCAAATACTAGATCTGACACCCCACCCTATGGCGGGCACACTGCCACTGCACAAAGCCCAACACAGATTCTCTGTCAGATAGGATACCACACCAAGCTGAACTCCCCGGTCCCTTTTCCTTACGAACCACATCCCCCTGCAGAGGAGACTTTGGAGGGCTGAAGAAGTCCATCACATCTGTTTGCTCATATGCCAATATGCTATTTACTCAGTACAGCTTTAAGAAAGGATTTGCTCTTTTGGCTGTTGGCTCTCCCCCTCTGCAGTGGAAGAGCAAAACCAACACAACATCGTATCTAAGAACTGGGTGTAGTTTTTCATGTAATTTTCAGCTCTCTAGCAACAGAGATATACATGTTTTAGTTATGGCTGCTCAGAAGCTAAAGGATTTTCCCTACCTTGTGTATGGTAACATTCACATTTTGAGCTTATAATGCTTCCTGTATATCACTTTTCTAAGACAATAATCCAAATTCCATACAGATGACTTTCTTTTAGACACCAATCACTTTTAGGCATCTGCAAGTTTCCACTGTTGCTGCCCTTGTGATTTAGGCGAAGAGTCATTAAAACTGGAGGGCCTAATTCCCAGCCTCAATGTAATATATCAGTAAGAAGTAATAAGCTCCTTCATGAAGCAATATAGCTCCCCAGCTAAATAAATGGCACACACTACTGATTAAACAAAGGCACATGTGGCTTTTTTTCCTAAACCTTTTTTAAAGCAAATGGATGAGTACATGAGAGAAAGAGAGAAGGAGAAGAAAACAGGAGTGGGAACTCAGAGAGCTGTAGAAACATCACAGAAGCAAAGATCTTGGACCCCAGGCATTGGAAAGGGGGTCCTGAGAATCTTCTGTAGAGAACTTCTTGGAGCGAGCATTGGCTTAAAAGAGCTTGGAGCCACAAATAGTCTCTGGCTGTTTGATTTGCTCTTCATTCAGGGAAATGAATGCTGTACATTCTTTGCAAATAAAGACTGAATCAAAGATACCTGATTCCATTAACAATTTATTTTCCTAAACAGAACAATCTGAAAGATAATGACTTTTTAGATAACTACTCAGGTCAGAAGTAGTAATAATGCTCACTCTATGTTTCTGACACTTCTGCCTCCCCTCAGGGAGGCATATCTCCCGTCATATA